GCTCATTTTCTGTGGATCACTTTATGAGTCTGTCAGTATTGCAGTCGAATGGGTAGGATGACAGATGAACTGAAAAGAATTTAGAAGGAAGCGACCGTGGTTTACTCTAGGAAATATCCAGTCATATAGTTGAAGACGCTGGGGAAAACGACAGAAAACATTCTTCAGAATTCGGATTCAAACCAAGAGCCTCTCGAATGCAAGCATAGAGCTTTACCGCCACGGTAACCTGCATGACATGTGCAGTGATTAAACACGGGAGTAAATTAATCCATATCTCTATTTATTTGACTTTTTCATGAGCCGGTTTAATCCCGTGTATATATTTACAGACAGGTTCGGGTGATATTTGTCGAGATTTGGACAACATGACATTTTGAATTCTTGTAGTTTCGCCTATCATATTGATTAAATTTTATAGTGCAATTCCCGTTGAAAAGACAACGGGAAAATTATACATTTCCCACATATAACACCAAGGTGTGAAACTGTAATGCCGATTGAAAGGCTACACTTTATTGCTGTCGTCTATTGAGCCTATCGTTAAGTAACAGATAAGTTTTGCATATGGTTTCCATGGATACGCTGTAAAGAAGATCCGACCAACAGTTTACACAGATTTATTTATGCTGGCTAGACTATACTGATATATTCATATCCTCGGTCACAGCGAAGAATTATTTTCAAGGCTGGTGGGGCAGGCAGATGTATAAAGGAAATGGGCCAGGAAATTTCCTCTCAAAATTAATTTTAAGCCATTTAAGACTGTATTTAGCGATCACTATAGAGTATTCACGGTACGTAACCTTTTTATAATTTAAATGTTTCATATTAATATTTGGTATATTTCCTTCCCCTTTTTAGATTTTGATTGTTTCCGAAAATCCAACGATAGAATAAATACCTCGCTTAACCCCCCCCCAACTCCTGTCGGCTCCCGTGTCAACGCTGGCAATGAACTCCAATTTCCAACAAACGAGTGTGCGCAACGAAAAAAGGGGCCAATAACATTAAGTTTACCATATAGTCCTATTTCTGTACCTTTACTGTGCGAGGACATACAGAGCCCTCTGTGATCAGTTGCATTCGTGAGGAAACGTAAGGGGTTTGCTGAGTGGGGAGAATCAAGGCCGGAGACATATAGAAGGCGGTGGAATTACAGAATGCTTTTACCTATAGACACTTTGAAGACTTTCTTAACCTCCCTGGGGCAAGAGTTTGCAAAGTGAGTTTATCTTGCTCACTTCCTTTCCCTAGTATTTATCTTGTTAGATCAATAATGGAAATAAATCACCTTGTGGTGATTATAGTAACCCTCTGAATAGAAATAGACCGATATTTCGCCGGAATACGGTTGTTCACATACAGGATTTGACTTTTCGGAGGAACATATCGCCACCATATTCTGGGCAGAAGAATAAGCCAAGAAAGAAACCAGCGTGAAGCAGTTAGCAAGCAAAGCTCTGCGCGTCTTTATATCCCAGAAGAGAGAACTCCTTGTGTGTACCCATGTTACTCGTACTGGTAAAGAACCATGTAAGCTGTAGTTTAAATAGCGGTTTCGATGCTTACAGGTATCAGTGATTCCTGAATATTACTATTCTCTGGATATGTCGCCGTGTAGTGCGGCTGTTCAAAGACGTTTCGGAGGGACACATTGCCTCCATCTTCATTGTCGAAAAGTAAGCCAAGAATCTAGCAATCAAAAATAGTATGGAGGTATAACTCCACGCATTCTTAACCCTGGTTCTGTATGGTAAAGGAGTAGTCAGCGTCACGCTCCGGTGACTCTGTCCCTCCGGGAAGAGTCCCCGATACTCATTGGATAGGAGGCTGGGTGAATCCCAGAGCCGGTCTGGACGCTGTGTAACAGATAGTATCTCATCCACTGCCGAGAATCAAACCCCTACCCCCAGAAAAAAGGGTTCACTTAAACAGTAAAGCTTGTGGTTTATATTCGCGAGGTGTTCGGTTTGAATCTCGGAGAGGTTACCGGGGTATCCTTCGCTTGCTATCGTTCATTTTATTCCTCAACCTTGAAGATTAAGGTAGTAGTTGCTCCGAAACGTCGGTAAACTTCTATGAAACTACACGGGGTTACATCTCAGAAGTCAGCGCTCTGAGAATCTCAACTTCGTCATGCTTTATGATAGTTCAGTTCGGTATTGATTTATGTGTTTTAATGTAGATTCTCAGAAATGTTCCTGTTTTCGATAACCTCATGGGATCACGTCTTCTTGTTGTTGTTGTTGTTGTTGTTGTTGTTGTTGTTGTTATTATTATTATTATTATTATTATTATTATTATTTGTGGTGGGCACGCGGTAGCATAGTTGGTTGAGGCACTATGCTACAAGCAGCAAGGTCGCGGGTTCGAGTCCCGATTAGGTGTTTTTTTTTAATTTAGCTAATCCTTCCAGCCGCACTATGTTCCTGGAGTCTACTGAGCCTCTCACAGAAATGAGTACCAAAGATCTTCCAGGAGATAAAGGGCGGACGGCGCGTAAGGCTGAAGGCCTCACCGCCATCTGTGAACCGTTTGTCTAGGGAAAATGTGGGAGCCTCGACCTCTCAAAACGCTATGGATCTCCACGGCCGTTACAGGGATAGCTTTACCCTTTTTACCTTTTTCATTATTATTATTACTGACATAAAGCGACTCTTATGTGGAAACTTCATGGCTTTAATTCCCCTTGCGAGCACTGTATATTTCCCTGTTTCTTCTTTGAGCATTGCTTCTGTATGTTTCCACGTGCAAGGAGAGAGAGACCTTCAAGCCGTAAGTTGATCTTTCATTTCTGTCGTTCCCCTGCATCTGATCCGTCGAGCAGGACATGCATTTGCTACGATATCTTTCTGACTTAGTAATCCAAGACACTCTGAGTTTTGGACAGTCATTGAATTGCTTTTACTGTTTCTGTGCTTAACTTTTCAAATGATGGCGGTAACTAAAGGCACCACTGGCATGAAAATGTAAAAATCGGTATAAATACATTTCATATAATTTCGCCTACATACTTAACATATCACGGCTGTCCCCCTCTATAGATGACGGAAATTTAATGAAAATCGGTCGGGCTGTTTTCGAGAAAATTAACGTTTCGTGTCTGAGCCGCTAGAGGGCGTATAATTATTTTCCTATTGATACCGTCTATACAGTTTTATGTGGGGAGATGGTCTCCAGAAATTACTGAAATTTAATCAGTGTTATTAAAGCAATTTTTCAGTGACTCATAATTGTGTTGTTGGAGTCTTTGCTTTGCAGCTGTAAAGTTCACGTTTATCGAGCACCCACCTGTTATGGATGAATTGTTAGGTACCAAGTATGAACAAAATCCAACCAACCGATCAGGCGCGAGCACTGCACACATACATACATACATACATACATACATACATACATACGTACATACTGTCACGTATTATGTGGTGGCTGTCAATGGGGTTTCGGATTGGATACTGGATTTATTGACCACTTACAGTATACACTCACAACAAATAGCTACACTTTAAAGATAAAAGCCATATACAGACTAGGGTTCTCAGTCAATTACAATTTCCACTAGCCGTTTCCTAGCGACGGATTTTAACAGCGTCGGCTTAAATCCTTACCGTTGACACACTGAACTGGATCGTCATCTCTTCTGAATCATCACTTGCAGAGCTTAACTGCACACAGCTCTCAACTAATTCTCAATCCCTCAATTATCAGCCAACTACCGATTCTCAAATAACGCTCAGTTGGCGTGGGATCCTCGTTATACACCCTTGAGTCTGACCTAACAGAAAACACCGTTTCCTAACAATCTCTCCATTGTTGCTTGCGTATTCATTACCTCAGGAACGTGTTTACCGAGCCGTTTTCAAGTAGGGAACATCTATTCTGCCTCAACTATTTCGGCTTTCAGGCGTCATATAACAATAAATACGTACTGGTGTACACACATGATAAAGATAGAAGGGCTAAAGTTGTCGCTGTTCTTGATTAATTACGTACCACGTCATGAAAAGGTATAGCATTCTCTACCTCGGCACTAGTTGGAAATGAGTTTTCGGCTTCACACCTCGGCTACATTATCACCAGCGAAGGAATCCCCGGTATTAACTGGATAGAAGGAGACCAGAACCAATCTGGACGCTGTGGAGAAAATAGAAGTATTTTGCCCTTTCCAGGCATCGAAACTCGGCCGTCCATTCCGTAGTCAGTCGCTATACTCTCTGAGATATTCTGGTCTCTCACATACATATATATGACTTTCCAAAAAACATTTTCCCATATTGAGGGGTGCTGAAAACATGTAAATCCATTTTCTGGCATCACAGTACTTTCTCATACTACATAAGCAGGATACAGTCTGTCCACAGAGCGTTTATATCCCGTGTATTTCGTATAATTCAACGATAAAAGAGGTTAGTCGCTGGCTTCCCACCGTGGCGGCCCAGGTTCTATCCTGGGTCTGGTCAAATGGGATTTGTGGTGGACAAAGTGGCGCTGGGGCAGGTTTTCTCCGAGTACTTCGGTTTCCCCTGCCAATCTTCATTCCACCAATTGCTCCACAATCACCCTCGCCTATCATCTGGGGCTGGCACAATAGGCCAGAATTGGCCGCAGTACAAGGGACTTAGTCCCACCCCACTAGCAATAGAAAAAATTCAACGACAAATCGAAAGCTACCCTCTAAACTACGTTAACCAGTCCATCTCTTAATGGAGACGCAGTGTAAGTACGCGTAGTACTGTATTCTGAGATTTGATGCCATGTAGTCGGATAGAAGTTTTATCGACGTTTCGAAGGAGTCCGCTGTCTCAATATTCGGGGTCGAAAAGTAAACCAAACAAGCGGATCGTGGCTGAGATTTAAACTTCGAGCATGGAGATAGTAGGTTCCTCCGAAATGTAGATAAATTTCTAAAAGATTAGAAGGCATCGTGTCGCAGAATTTATACTGCAGTCATGGCTGTGAGAACCTCAGGTGTAACGGGCTTGTGTTTGTCTGTGCAGGTCTTCATAAAGTCAGAACTGAAAGTTGGAGTTATCTACGTGAAGGAGGGTCAGTACACGGAAGAGGAAATCCTAGACAACAATGACAACAGTCCCCTGTTCGAGGAGTTTCTGCAAATCTTAGGCGACAAGGTGCGCCTTAAGGGTGAGTTCTCAAATTAACTAACCAGTCTGCACGGTAATATCAGTGGCACGTGTTCCGACCTGAGCCAGTTTCTCCCCTCCCAGTTTCGTGGGGTAACTTCCGCACCATATAGCTCAGGCTGTTAATTCACTCACTCATGGAGTTGAGCCCTTCTTGAGAAGCCGCCAATTGTGCAGCCACTGAGGAATTTCCAAGCATTTTTTGGAACCCGAAGGTTCATTGCACTGCCCACAAGAGCCCTCTACTGGTCCCTCTCCTGAGCCAGATCAAGCCAGTCCTTACCACCCCACCCTATCTCTCTAAGATCCATTTTAATACTGTCCACCCACCTACGTCTTGGTCTTCCTAGTTGTCTCTTTCCCACCAATGTCATATATGCATTCCTCTTCTCCCCCATTCATGCTACATGTTCTGCCCATCTCATCCTCCTTGACTTGACCATTTTAACGGGCGGTTAATTATTATTATTATTATTATTATTTCTTAGCTTTGAGCAAGCGGTAAATTTGTTGCTTGAGAACTATGCTACAAGCCGGAAAGTCGTGGTTTCGATTCCCGATGATTTTTCTGTTGACCTAATTCTTCCATAGCCGGGATAGCTCAGTCAGTATAGTGGCTGGCTTCAGGCTGGACGACCGAGGGGTCCGAATTCAAGTTCCGGTATGGTCAAGAGTTTTCAGTCTCCATCTCGTCCAGACCGGCTCTGGACCCCGCCCAACCTCCTATCCAAGGGGTACTGGGGGCTCTTTTCCCGGGGGTAAATCGGCCGGGGCGTGATGATGACCACTCACCTCCATCTAGTGCCGAGGTCAAGAAATCTTGGGTCTATACAGCCACTCCCCTGTACGTCTTCGTAGGGTAGTGCTTAATTAGTTAAGCACAGGGACAATTTTACCTTTTTTTACTTAATCCTTCCAACCGCACTATGGCACTTAGTTCGACTCAGCTTCTAGCAGAAATGAGTACCAAGAATCTTCGTGGAGGTAAAGTTTGGTCGGTGCGTAAGGCTGACAATCTCAACGACATCTGTGAGCCGATTGTCTAGAGAAAATACGGGAATCTCAACGTCTCACAAACATATGGCCTCCACGGCCTGTTACAGGGATAGCATTACTTTAGGGTGGGTTGCGACTGAGTCCACTTGCTACTTTCGCCACTAATTGACTTTATTCACCAGCCCCGGATGATAGATGAGTACCAAATAGATGGTGAGATGTTAATTGGCAGGGGATACTGAAATACTTGGAGGAAACCTACCCCAGTGCCACTTGTCCACCACAAATCCCTCATGACTTCACCCGGAATGGAACCCGGGTCGCCGCAGTGGGAACCCGGCGACTACCAGCCCGAGCCATGGCTACTGATACTGGTCAAAACTTGTCCATCTGTGATGGACACGCCGTGAAGACGTATGGGGTGTGGGGATATAGCTCAGCACTAGGTGTCTGTGACGGGTTAGCTTGGCCCTGTGGAAATAGTTTTGCCTGTAACATTTGTTTACATAGACCCAATTACCCTTCAGGACAAAAGAGATATCAAATGAACTGATGGAGAAATTAGGCTCCTCAAAAATACCAAACTGGACGGCGTAACATCCCAGACAACAGCAATTTTTAATACCGTTAACAGCGTAATCATAAGTCATTTAATTTAACTTTATTTTCTGTGGTAGCAAGAAAGGCTCCAGAGTCTTGTTCCGAGACTTATTAAACTCTTTCTTCCGTCTCTTCCTAGGTCGACCTGGAACACGACTTCCAGCTAGATTTTTGTTATATCCTTGCCACCGTGACCGTTCAGGGGTGATTTTCTCAGTTTCTTCCTTCCAGTTTATGTGTTGTCCAATTTTTGTACTGTCTTCTCTGTTTCCTCCCGTTCCCTTCTAACCCTTCTAGTCTTGACCACTAGTGCGACATCTAGCGTCAACTTCAGGGACCTAATCTGAGATGTTTCTATTCCGTTACTTGTTCTAGCCTCCTACCGCAAATGTTTCGCTTTAACGCTTTAGAGACAGAACTTCTAAATAATTTACAAAGATTCGGTTCATACCTCACAGGAAACACATTAGATCTCCGCTACAGAGTCCAAACGGTTAATGTTGTATGGGGAAACAGTCCCTATTTATTGTGAGAACCACACGCAACATACAAATACTCGTACATCCTGTGGGCAGAATGCAGAGTTTTGGTATGTTAAAGCAGAGATTTAAAAGGTTAATGCTTGCGGGATGGTTTCGAAAGCCAATGTGCATCCTTAATTCTGAGTCTGGTCTCATGTCTTTTTGAATGTCACCTTTAATAATTCCACTGAGCTCATTATACGTCAGAATATTCTCTGTGTTCATTTCTCGTGTTGGGATGCTGCATTCGGTATTCTCGTACTTGTAGTACTGATTCCGTTTCGTAGTGTGTCCACTTCTCATACATGTCAGAGCAGGAATAGCTAAAGCAGCACGACAACCAGGCTTTGAACTAGACAAGGACAAGAAATGTTTCTTTTCTCCGTAGCGCCTGTACCAGCTCCGAGGACCATCCAGCCCTTCTATACCATGGGTACCGGGGGCAGTATCTCCGTAGATAGAGTGGCTGGGGCGTAAAGATAACCGTCCTCTTCATCTATTATCAAGGTTAAAATACGTGGAGATATACCTTCGCTTCCCCTTACGTTTTAATGGCGTTGTGGTTAATTTATTAAGTACAGGGAAACATTAATTTCATCTTTACTTCATATATACAGAGTGTACCAGGAGGGTCAGTATTCTGGGAAATCACAGTATCGGCAATTCTAAGCAAAAAAGTGTATATGTACATGTGTCCTATTCCGAACGGTTTCCGAGATAGAGCTACTTCACTGTACAGTTCACTGTACACTATGCAGATGAGCAACATGCCATGTCTTCACACGAGCTGCAAAGTGCATTGATGTTGACTGTGGAATTTTCGAAAATATATTACACTAGGTGAACTGTACTAATTTAATCACTTGAACGTTAAATGCCTGTGTTAGAAACAGTAGGTAATATCTCATTCATATCAACAATTTTGGAACTGTACAGTGAATAACTCTATCTCGGAAACCATTAGGAATATGACACATATATATACAGGATGTCCCAGGAGGAATGTGCCAGACTTCGGGAGGGTGTTCCTTATGTTAAAGTATGCCGATATAACCCAAAATACCTATGTCGAAAGTTGAACGGTTACGGAGGTAATGGCCAGAAAAGTATGAAACTTTGACAGGTGCTACACACTTGTTGATTAAAAAATACATATTAAAACTGGCAGGAATATGTGGATTCTGTAATGTTAATAATTTACGTAACATAAAACTAACCTGTGAGTGACATGAAGCCATTAAATTGAACTACAAAAAAATTCGCACACCATGTCATAGTTGTCCTTACGGTTCCAAGCACTGACTTAACATGGCTGACTGCGCATTCTGGTATAAGCCGACTAAATAACTGTACTAAAATACAGTACCTGCTTTATAGTAATTGTTCAACGTGTCCTCCGCTAGCTGCAATGCAGTTTTCGGCACGCAATATGAGGGCCTGGGTNTGTGAGTGACATGAAGCCATTAAATTGAACTACAAAAAAATTCGCACACCATGTCATAGTTGTCCTTACGGTTCCAAGCACTGACTTAACATGGCTGACTGCGCATTCTGGTATAAGCCGACTAAATAACTGTACTAAAATACAGTACCTGCTTTATAGTAATTGTTCAACGTGTCCTCCGCTAGCTGCAATGCAGTTTTCGGCACGCAATATGAGGGCCTGGGTAGCAATGTTGCCTGGATGGTGACGTATGTGTTCTGCCGCTGCAAAAACACGATCCCGCAGTGCTTCTCGTGAATCGACCTTAGTTTCGTAGACTAACGTCTTCATGTGGCCCCAGAGGTAATAATCTAGAGGCGTAAGATCTGGCGACCTCGGTGGCCATGCAACGGGCCCACCACGACCTAACCAGCGGTTAGGGAAGGATTGACCTAAGTAGTGTCTCACGTGCTGAGTGTAATGTTGGGGACCCGGTCCGATCAACCTGANGTTTCCAGTTAAATTGTTGTGAAACACAAAAGGTCCGATCAACCTGATCCCAAGCACACAATACCATACATTCACAGAAAATCTCTTTTGGAATTTCGTTACCATTATCTCATGTGGATTATTATGGGACCACGTATGCACATTTCGTAAATTATTTACACCGTCCCGGGTAAAAGACGCCTCATCCCTGAATAAATGACGCGGAATTCTCTGAACCGTCTCAAGAATGTTCTCTCGTGTGTTTATCATTCGTACATCCTCCCCTTCAGTGTGCACAGAAACACTCGGAAGAGAACGCAATGTCTGGTGAATTCGCATAAAGACACTTCGAGATGGAATCCTTCGATCAGGAAAACGCTTTTGGTATTCTTCAACAGCGGCACGTGCATTGCCACTGCAAAATCCATACACAAAATGCATATAACAATATTCCACGTGTGAAAACACAAAAAGCATTTCAGCAACTCCTCACAACTAACCTACCAGTCATTCACAACGCGGCCGCAACGTACCCTGAAGGAAGCACATAAGCTTACGGCTAGTGTGAGCCGTCATCACCACACTCAAGGACAAACATCGATAAGACTTGTCAGCTGACAGGTACAGTGCGTGGACCCGCCAGAAGACCACACTTTTCTCGGGCCATTATCTCCGTAACCGTTCAATTTTGGACATAAGTGTTTTGGATTATGTCGGCATACTTTCACATAAGGAACACCCTCCCGAAGTCTGGCACATTCCTCATGGGACATTCTGTATATATATATTTTTTGCTAAGAATGATCGATTCTATGACTTCCTGGAACACCATCTATGTATCCTACCCACATTGTCATAGCAACGATTATTTGATATTGTCATATCATGTTCTTGTAATATTTCACCCAGTTTCCCACGTTTTTCTAGCCTCTTCATGACTGTGAATATGAAGCATTAAGCACTGCGGTGACTTTGAAGAGTACGGTGTCCCGGATTGTAACATCGCATAAATGGAAGAGAGCCAGACGTTTCGGAATAACATCACCTCCGTCTTCGGGATCAAAGAGCAAGTCAAGCAGGAAAATAGCATAATCGGGTGGCAAGCTGAGTATTTTCAATCTAGAGGATGTAGGCGATATGGTCCTCCGAAACGTCCGTCTCTTTCCAGCTACACAGCGTAAAAATGCAGAAGACAGTGATGTTATATTTAAGAAGCACAAACGGGGAAGTGAAGCCCTGGGCTGGAAGCGTGACAAAGAAAGGCCCTGGCACTTTCCGAACCAGTGATACATTGACAGATATGTTCAGTGAGAAAGAGGAGAGTCATTTTTAGAATCAAAAGAGAAGACGGAAATATATTTTGAACTGTTTTCTTTGCGACGTGTAGTAGGATGTTTCTTATTCCGCGGTCTCCCCAGAGGCGGAGGTGGCTACACGGTGATACGCAAAGAAAATCACTAGTGGGATACTTGTATGAATCCAAACGTATTACATTCGTACGTAATCTTTTGAAGTACAAATTTCTTGTACACAGCATACAGAATAGAATTGAACGGAACAGAACAGAGCAGAACAGAACAAAAGCAAACAAAACAAATCGGAATAGAATAAAATAGAACAAAATATAAGTGAATAGAATAGAACAGAACAGAACGGAATGAAATGAGATGAAATAAAATTAAATTCATTGGAACGGAACGGAACAGAGCTGAGCTGAGCAGAGCAGAACAGAACAGAATAGAATATTTTTATTGAGTTGAACTTATTTTTACGAAGTTAGGTGATTCTGTACACTGCTAATTTATACTTCACAAATGGCCATGTTCAGTCTCATATAAACGCATAAAAATGAGCTTAACAAAATAAATCATTCTGTCATCCAGTGTGTGTGATTATAGACGGAGTTTGGATTCGTGAATGAATTTATGGAACACTTATACATACGACTCGGTACTGTAAGCATTTACAGCGCCACCGCTAATCTCCACAATTCACAAACCACCATAGCACACGCTAAGGCATTTTCCAGCATGCTGTGTCGTCACCAGCCGTTCCCTGTTAACGGCTTCTAACACAGGAAAATTTTCAATTTCACGCGCTCAAGTCCTCTATTCACAGCCTCCCTACAGAACTGCCTAACAAATGACTTCATCCCTTGCTTATAACATTTCGGCACGGACTACGTAGAAACACCCGGTTTCCATTGTTGTAGTCAAACTGTTGCATTACTAAGAATCTGCTGCCTAGCAACAGCGACGTCTGTACACCACACTGTTCTGCTTACAGTTTAACATTTAAACAACACAGTAAAAGTTTACTTCTTGCCTCACAGGAAAAACGCCTCATCGGCATTATAAAGACCAACTGACTAATGAAATGCAAGGTAATGTTGAGAATTGTATGAAACACTTAAATACTCTCTGTGAGTAAAATTCGGACTTTCTGTAACGTTAAAGTACACGGTGATATCACTCACTCACTCATGGAGCTGAGCCCTTCTTCAGAAGCCGCCAATTGTGCAGCNTGCCCACCATCTCATCCTCCTTGACTTGATAATTCTAATTATACTTGGAGAAAAGTACAAATTATGAAGCTCCTCATTATGCAGTTTTCTCCAACATTCCTACAATTCTTCATAGTTGTAGTTACGACCTGTAGATTAATAAAACCAATTAACAATCCGAACCGAATCTCAGTAGGCAAACACTTTACAATATTAATCAGTGTGCTATGTAAGCCAGGAATTACAAATTTTTTCAGCTTACAATACGCCTGGAATTCAGGATAGGCCTACTCCTTTTAGAATTCGCCAAAAATAAAGGTTCTGTTCTACGAAGTGCACTAGTAGCAGGAAATGTGCACATCTGCACCTACTGACGCAACCCAAAGGCCAATTATAAAGCAACCACGAGCAGCGGGACAAACAAAAGAAAAACAGGCGAACAAACGAAAGACAAAACAAAGCAACATTTATCATACAGTTCGGTTTATTTACATGCCAACTTAACAGCCCAAACAAAGGTCAATTACATGCACAAAGTGAACCAGAGTAAAAAAAAAAGGAACAAAAAAACAAATTTGTATCATTTGAATAATAGTAATAATTCGATTAAGACAAATCAGAGTTTTTATTTTGAAGTGAAAAATGTAACATTTACGAGTATATACACATGTAAAAGGACTGGAAGAACCATGGCTAGGATAAAATATGGCAACAAGAAACATTTCATGTTTTAAACTTAGACAGTAAAAATAGTAGTAGTAGTATTGGTAGTGGTGGTAGTAGCATCAGTAGTAGCAGTAGTGGTGTTGGTGGTAGCAGTAGTAATATTGGTAGTAGTAATAGTAGTAGTAGTAGTAGTAGTAGTAGTAGTAGTAGTAGTAGTAGTAGTAGTAGTAGCCGTTATTAAATCACCCCCGTCAGAGTCAAGAGGTAAATATAAAAAAGTTATACAGGGGATAGCGAGAAATATGCCAAATGACGATGCTGCCCTTATTGTGAGAGACTTGGGAAAGAGCGCGGTAAGTCGAGCACCTCGTTCCAACTCGCGAGAAGCTCTTATTCCGCCGGGGCACGCTGCTGTATGGGTGCCCGGGTCTAATCTGGAAGCTTTTATATAACTCCCCCATGCATGCTATTGGGGAAGGAGTGGAGGCATAGCTCCATGCATTCTTAACTTCGATATTAATTCAGAGTACTCAGTTTCTGTGTCTGGGCCTCAGAACCGAGATGTACACCGTGAAAAAAGAAACATTTTATTGATGCCAGAAAATAAAAGCCTTACTATTCCCTTTGCATTTGCCCTTAATTTCCAGACTATAACCATCTCTTGGGGCACACGGTAGCGTAATCGGTTGAGTCACAAGCCGGAAGGTTGTATTTTCGATTCCCGCTTTTCGATTGACCTAATCCATCCAGCCGCACTATGGCACAGGGGTCGACTCAGCCTCTAACAGAAATGAGTACCAGGAATCTTCCTGGATGGTAAATGGAGGCCAGTCGGCGTGTAAGGCTGACAACCTCACCACCATCTGTGAGGCGATTGTCTATAAGATGGGGGAGCCTCGACTTCTCACAACCCTGTGGGCCTCCACGGCCTGTTACAGGAATAATTTTACCTCTTTTTACAATCATCTCCTATGTATGACAGTCACATTTTTGTTTAATTTCCAACTCCTGTGCACCAAAATACAGAAAATTCCTCTGCGCTGCGGTTCGTGCCGCCTTACCGTCTTGTACCTCTACCCTTCATAATAACAAACAGTCTCAACGTGTGGAGCAAATCTTCTCACCATATGCAGTTTTATGAGGAAGGAAACGGGGATGCGAGTTTTCCTTCGTGAAATATTGCAGGGGGAGGGGGGAACTGAAACGTGACTGCGCTGTGCTTGTGTCAATGTATCTGCCTTTGATGCCTACCGCCCTGCTGGATTGCAGATGAAAGAAAGCATTTGGTATTGGCAGAACCCGGAGGGATACGCGAACAGTATTGCGGACCCCTTCTGTGCCCAGATACCTGTACGTATTTCTTTGCTAGCAATGTATTGCATGCACAAGTCACCGCTCGAGAAATGTGGTCATCACGTATGCGTCACGTTTTTCTATCGGTGGCAATGTTTCACTCATTTTTTGAGAACTCTGGATATCTGCTGGGTTGCATTTAAATAATATTGTAAAAATATAGAGAGTTCAATGAAAAGATGCATTCCACAGAAGTAATTATAGATGGTGTATTAATATCTGTGACCTTCTGATGTGGATAATACTATAAGAAGATGAAATTATGATCTCTAAATAAGGAGGAGCCCTATTTTAGATAGACTGAATATGTAAGGCTCGATTAAGTTCTCACATCATAATAAATAAGCAATCAATATGTCAGACTTCAGGTTCTCACAGCGGTCATTATAAACATTTCTGTCTTCTGGAATATAACTCCGTGGAGTCTGTTGAAAGTGAACCTGCTTCATGCTGGTCTATTGTTTGTTTCTTCAATCCTGAAAATGGAAGCGACATGTTTCCCCGAAACATCGGTAGATTTTAAACAACCTACACAGCGCTAGGAGGAGCCGGGATAGCGTAGTCACTACAGCGACTGGCTACGGGCTGGACAACCGAAGGGTTAGAATTCGTGTCCCGGTAGGGTCAAGAATTTTCTCTTCTCCACGTTGTCCAGACCGGCTCCGGGGCCCACCCAGCCTGCTAATAATGGGTACCGGGGGCTCGTTCCCCAGGAGTAAAGCGGCAAGGGCGTGAAGCTGACCACTCACCTCTAACTAGTGCCGAGGTGAGGAAAATTTGTATTTATACATCCAACCCCCCATACTCCTTCATGGCGTAATACTTAATTGGTTAAACACGGGGACAATTTTGCCTTTACTTTTACACATGATGGAACATTTCTTAATGAATTTCCATTTGGCGGTGCCTCTATTGTTTCACGTGCACAGGCAGACACACTGATGGAAGGAATTTATTATGAGTTTTGCAAGGTTGAGAACAAAACTAAAAGTGGAAGGATGACGTCACAATTTTTTGTATTATGTCTGAATCGCGACAAACTCTACAGACTTCAAACTTTGCAGTCAGCACAAGGACAAAAAAATGAGGCAACTGTGGGATAAGGAATGTATGGAATACACCTTTTAGCCCGTTTAAGTCGCCCGACGTTTCGAAAAAAGGTGTCGTCTTCCTCTTCAGGTTCCAGGATGGAGGCAAAATATTCCCCCGAAACGTCCGTTGATTGTCAACGGACTACAAGGCGTTATACCCCCAGAAGATAGAACTCTTCATAACCAGCGGTGTGAGAACTTGGAAGTCCTAAGTGGATATATCTGTTTCAGGTTTCGACAAGTACAAGGGTGGGCTGGACACTGTGCACGACTTGACTGGGCTGTACTCTGTGTACACAAACTGGAGAAGTATAGAAATAATGTTCCACGTGTCCACGCAGCTTCCCTACGAGAAGCATGACCCGCAAAAGGTGACTCACTACTGCTGTTACTTCACTTCCATCTCAACTCTCATGTGTAGCACATTTTCCCTTCTGTTCTTCCAAAGCCTTGAAAATAAATCTATGTCAACCCCTCCTCTCAGTCAGGGGGTGGCACGCTGTAGCGTAGTTGGCTGAGACACCATTCTACAAGCCGGAAGGTCAAGGTTCGATTCCCGGTGAGGTCGTAGAATTTTTCAGTTGACCTAGTCCTTCAAGCTGCAATATGGTCCTAGAGTCGACTCATCGTCTAAGAGAAATGAGTACCAGGAATCTCCCTAGGGGTAAAGGGCGGTCTGCCGGCGCGTAAGGCTAACAACCTCACCGCCATCTGTGAGCCGACTGTCGAGAAGTTGTTGGAGCCTCGACGTCTCGCAACCCTATGGGTCTCCACGGCCTGTTACAGCGATAGCTTTACGTTACCTCAGCACGAGCGTTTTGCAATATGCGATTCAGTAGAGATTATGAGAATTCGGGTAGCACTCCTGGTTGCTTTTCAGGAGCTCCCAGGTTCTGACCTCAGCTCTGGGACTGAACGATGGTTTAATTAATTTATCTCAATAAAATTGATGAAATAAATTTGATAAAGCAATTGATATATTTTTTCTGATCTTAATCTATTTTATTAAAATTAATTTACTTCGGCGGTCTCGGTACCTTGATGTAACAGAAAAGGAGAGTAATGTGAATATAAATAAAAATATAATTTATTGCGTTACTTCCACATTCTGAGTCGTCATTTATTGATCAGCTTACCATTCGATGATATACAGGGTGTTATAAAAGGGTTACAATTTTTAAGGGTATGTAGGGATCACTTAAATGAGCAAAAACTCTCAGTCAGCATGTGTCCAGAAATAATGCTTCCTAAGATGTGGGAGAGTCAATGTTTGAGCGGACATCTTGAGTAATCAACTCTCAGTACCAGTTGTCTTACCTAACAAACTAACAAGTTCAGTGTACCTTCGGTGTTTTTGGTGAATGATTTACCAGTACTGCTGGAACATGTGCCTCTTCATCAGCGCCAACACAAGTGGTTCATGCAAAATGGGGTACCCCCTCAGTTTCTCTGCATTGTCAGGCCACCTGAACCAGACTTTCGGTGTACAGTGGCTAGGACGCGGTGGCCCAGTCAACTGGCCTGCACGATCTCCTGACCTCCGTCCTCTGCATTTTTGGCTGCGGAAACACGTAAATATTTTGGTGTATTCAGCACTGCTCTATGGCTTAGAGGCATTACAGCAACGAGTATAGAATGCTTGTCAGGAGGTTCGAGTGAAACCAGGAATTTTCAGGAGAAGGCATGACCCTGTGCAACGAAGAACTGAGAGCTAAGTTGAAATGCACGGGAAACACATACAGCTTCTGCTGTAGCGATTACACGAACATCGCCCATGTCTCAGCAGGCAACGGTTTCTGAATATACGTATGTTGACTGGGACTATTTTATATTCTAAACGGTTCTGACGATGATCTGTAATACTCAGAATTACTGAGTTTTTGGACCTTTTCCATCGCCTCATATTCTAGAGACTAGAAGACACGACGTTTCGGAAACTGTATCTGTTTCCGTCCTCAGGTGAAGGGAGAAAACACCTACTCAGTTTGGTCCCTTAGAAAGAACTAACAGTGATCGAGGCAAGCTCTCCCTAACGGACCCAACAAAGTAGGTGTCTTTCCCCCTCACCTGAGGACGGAAACAGACCCAGTTTCCGAAACATCGTGTTTTCTAGTGTCTAGAATACCGGACGATGGAAAAAGAAAAAAACAGTAATTCTGAGACTCTTTTGCTCATTTAAGTGAGTACTGTGTCCCATTAAAGCCCGTAACCCTTGTTTTAACACCCTGTACATGTACGGCCTCTAAATCAATCATTAACTAACCAGAAAGTAAATAAAAACATAAAATATATGATGCAGATGGCATACATTTCCTGTCACATCATGATTCGTTGTTGTTTCAGCTGCAACGCAAGCGTCACATCGGAAATGACATTGTGTGTGTGGTGTTCCTGGAGGCAGATAACACGTCCTTCTCGCCTGCCTGCATCAAGTCACATTTCCTACACACCTTCATCCTCGTACGGACCAGCCCACGCATCAAGAGAAAGCCCACGCGATACGAGGTAAGCACGTGAGCAGAAGCCAACGCTTGACTTAACAATTTCCTTAAGCTTTCAGACTGGCGCGCCAGTGCCCGTGAAGGAGGCCGTCTACTGGAATGTGACGTCGTGTACTCTGCTTGAAATTCACCACTGTTTTGGACGAAAATGCTGCTTCCTTCTTCAGGGTGTAAATTTCGGCCATGTGTGAAAGAAGGTAGTACAAATATGGGGTATGATAGTAGCCATAAGCAAAGCAAGAGGGACGTAAGGAGAGAGAATTCGAGACCCTGAAATGGGCCGTTTTTGCGAGATAATACTTTTACTTCCATGGAGCCTAGTCCTTCACAAAGAAATAGTCCCGTCAGCCGGTCACGTGACGGCTCACATGTAGTAAAACATAGAACTTTGTTCACAGGAGCCAACTATTGGCCCCTATCCTCAGCCAGATTAATCCAGTTCGGATTCTTATTTTCTTCTTCTTTGATGACCTGTTTATACTCCCCACCTATCTATGTCTGTCTCCGGAGCAGATTTTCCGACTGAAATCTGACATTTATTTCTCATGGCTTCCATGCGTGTTGCGTGCCCAACCGATCTCATTCTCATTGATTTGTTAACCCTAATGTGTTGCGACTGGCTACGGACTGGACGGCCGAGGTGACGAAGTTCGAGTCTTGGTAGAGTAAAAAATTTTGTTGACGTCATCCAGACCGGCTCTGCAGCTCACCCAGCCTCCTATCCAATGTGTACCGGGATTGTCCCTGGGGTGTGTTCTGCCGTGGTGACAGGGGGGCGTGGAGGTGTCCCGCCACTGCCACCAAGGCGTCGTGCTGCCAAAATCTTGTTAAGTCTTAGGGAGGGGCTCAGGTAAATTTACAATCACTGACGTATCAGCCGCCTTGGCTTGAGTTTGCAATTCTCCTGGAGGATTCGGAGGGAGGCTGGAGTCGGCAGGGAAGACGATAACGCTTGAGGGAATGCTAGGTTCAATTAACATCACAGCGTATTTCTATCCTACTCTATTCACCTATGTGAAATGCTGCCTCAACTTCCCTGAAGAAGGGGACAGCATGTTTCGCTGAAATGTCTGTAAGCACCTACTAAACCACATGCCACCATACCCCCAGTTGTATGAAAAACTCAGATCTCAGCAACGTGTAATTATTCCCACAATGCAAGAGACCAGATTCACAAAACAACTGATAAATTTAATGTTGCATTTAAGGCTCTCACAGTAGTGGCTGAGAAGAATATTGTCTTCTGTGTTGTAACGCCATGTAGTTTGGAGACAGCCTAACATTTCTGATGAAAATATCACCTGCGTCTACAGGTCAGAAGAGTAAGCCAACCACGAAACAAGTGACAAGCTTAGCTTCCTTGACTTAGTATTGACCCTGAAAATGGGGGGGACGTTAGTTTATCTCAAAATTACACGGTGTTTCAACTCACAAGACTCTACTCTTCATGGTAAATTTAAGTTACTGTCTTATAGAATGCATTAAGAGAGCAACATAGATTGAGGGTGTTTGAGAACAGTATGTTGAGGATAATATCTGGAACGAAAAGGGATGAAGTGACGGGAGGCTGGAGAAAATTGGTTAATGAGAAGCTTCATAACTTGTACGCTTCTCCATGTATAATTAGAATGATCAAGTCAAGGAGGATGAGGTGGGCAGGTCATGTAGCACGAATGGGGGAGAGGAGAAATGCATATACACATGATATTGGTGGGAAATCCAGCAGAAAAGAGACCACTGGGAAAACCAAGGCGTAAGTGGGTGGACAGTATTGAAAGAGATCTCATAGAGATAGGATAGAATAGTAGTGATTGGTCTGATCTGGCTCAGGATGGGGACCAGTGGAGGACTCTTGTGAACACGGTGATGAACCTTCGGGTTCCACAAAATACTGGGAAGTTCTTGCGTAGCTGCACAATTGGCAGCTTCCCAAGAAGGGCTCAGCTCCATGAGTGAGTGAGTGAGTGAGTGAGTGAGTGAGTGAGTCTTATAGAATGTGACGCAAGAAATATCACCGTTTCGGAAGGTCTCGCTGACTCATCAACTACCCTTGTTGTTCCAGGTATCGGTAGTGACAAGGGATGAGGTTGGTGCGTACAAGCCGTACCTCTGGGAACAATCTGTGTTCGACAAGGGACCCATGTTCAGGGAATGGCTGCTCACCAAAATCGTCAACGGTGAGCGCGCCAGCTACTCTGCGCCGAAATTCGCGCGCATGCAGGAGCGCACGCGCTCTCAGATGCTTGAGGACATTGTTGCCAACCTTGCGAACCATGCTGAGACCGGCCAGATTCCAAAACCATACCGGTGAGTGTTTTGTTTGCTTTTTCTACGTAGGTCGTACCGAAAGTCATGAGCAACTTTTTTTTTTGCATGCAACCTGGGAACAGCAGACGAAAGAGAGTACGGTGGTAGGTGGAACCAGCTGTTGTGTTAACTTTGAGTGTCTTGTGACGTCAATAGCTTGCATCACGCGACCAGTATCACTCCTAACAAAATGGCCGACAACGATATGTCGTTTCGCCAGCGTGCTGTCATCGAATTTCTTGTGAAAGAGGAAATCCCTGCTGCGGAAATTCACCAGAGACTTCAGCGTGTTTATGGAAGTGTGTGCATGGGTGCGAGCAGTGTTCGAAGATGGGTGAAACATTTTAAAGACGGGAACACCAGCATCGAAAATGAGCCTCGGAGCGGTCGTCCTCGAACAGCCTCAACTGAACACAACAAGGAAAGAGTGGATGAGATCATTGAAGATGACAGGCGTGTGAATGTGGACACAATAGCCCGAAAACTTGGAATAGGACACAGCGCAGTACAGGAGATGATTGAATGCTTGGGCTATAGGAAAGTTTGTGCTCGTTGGGTCCCGCGGTTATTGACCGAAGACCACAAAGATCAGCAAAAAGCCATCACCTCAGAACTACTGCAGAGATATCGACACGAAGGCGATGGTTTTTGCTCTGTATTGTGACAGGTGACGAAAGCTGGTTTCACCATTTTGAGCCTGAAACGAAACGGCAGAGTATGGAATGGCACCATTTGCATTCTCCATCAAAAAAGAAGGCAAACACAGGGCCATCAGCTGCGAAGGTGATGGGCACAGTCTTCTGGGATGGAGAGGGGTTTATTCTGGCCGAATTCCTGGAACCTTGGCAAACCATCAATGCTGCTCGTTATGTCCAGACGCTGCACAAGTCCCGTCGTGCATTGCGCGATAAACGTCCGGGTCGAAACATCATCCTGCATGACAACGCTCGGCCCACGCCGCTCGCCTCACATTGGAAGCAATTGCAATGATGGGGTTGGGAAGTTCTTCCACACCCCTCATATAGCCCTGATCTGGCACCCTCCGACTACCATCTCATCGGATTTGTGAAAGATCAGCTGCGTGGACAACGTTTTGAGACAAGGGAGGCAATTCAGAAAGGAGTGCTTCAGTGTCTTCGGATGGCTGGAACGGAATTTTACAGAAGGGGAATTTTCAAACTCCCAGAACGCTGAGAGAAATGTGTACAAAGAAGTGGAGATTATGTGGAAAAATAAAGAAAGGTCTGTAGATTGAGGTGGTGTTTTTGGTTTGTCAATAATAAAGCATGTTACTTTACAAAAAATTGTTACTCATGACTCATGATCTCTGATTAGTGTGAAATGTGTTTAACTGGAGGCTCAGTGTTCTTTTCAGAACAAATTTTTAACTTTTGTCATTCTCTACCGCCTCCCTCATCACCTCCTTTTTCATTCAGGATTTAATGTTCTCGCAACGGTGTTTCGTCGTCTGGGATATAACTCCTTGTAAGGTAAAGGTAGTGGCCGCGCCATAGCTCAAGCGGTTAGTCGCTGGCTTCCCACCGCGGCGGCCCAGGTTTGATCCCGGGTCTGGTAAAGTGGGATTTGTGGTGGACAAAGTGGCGCTAGGGCAGATTTTCTCCTAGTACTTCGGTTTCCCCTGCCAATCTTCATTCCACCAATTGCTCCACAATCACCCTCACCTATCGTCTGGGGCTGGTACAATAGGCCAGAAGTGGCCGCAGTACAAGGGACTTAGCCCCACCCTACTAGCAATAAAAAAAAACAAGGTAAAGGTAAGCCGATCAGAGTTGCCGCACAGTCTGAGGCTTTAAATGTCTTCGCTCGCTCGACCGCTGGGATAGTGGGTTCGACTCCCACGCAATGCATGAATGCCTGTATATGCGTTTATACTGTGTTTGTGTTGTGTGTGTAGGTAGCTGCCTTGCGACGGGCTGATCATTCGTCCGAGGTGTCCTATCGTCTGTGTAAGACTGATTACGAAACTGAAGAAGAGACCAGGGCCCAACAAAGGGCTTGTAGTCCCATTGATGAATGAATAAAGATGTCCCTTTTCTTAACTAATTAAGCATTACGCAGTGAAGACTTATAGGGAATAGATGTATGGATCCACGTATCCTTGACCTCGACATAATTTGAAGTGAGTCGTCAGCTTCACGCCTTGGCCGCTTTAACCCCTAAGAAGGGGCCCTCGGTAGCCATTGGATAGGAGACTGGGTGGGCTCCAGGACCCCTTTGGATGATAACGTAGCGTAGTCCGTTGATATTCAACGCATGTTTCAGAGGATTCTTCATCTGTTTTTGTTTCTCTTTACGTAATTTCAATTTCTCCTATTCCGTCCTTTTTTTCTTTTGTCTCTGTATACCTCCTCCAACTACTTACTGATTTTCTCGTCTGCTTTCATTTTTATCTTTTCGTTCTCTCATTCATCTCCTACTTGCCCCCTCTTAATCCCTTCCTTCTTTGCTGAATCAAGGTGTTCCAAATCCTCTATTACTCGTCCTTGTTCTTCTCCTCCTCTCTCTTTTGTCACTGTCTGTTTTGTCTGTATCTTATCCTTAATTTCTCTTCCTTAATCATCTCGAATAATATGATGTAGACAAATCTGCGTTCTGGCTATGACAGGTTGATTTAAAGCACATAACCTCAATTGTACCTGATGTTTCATACTAGATAACATTAGAAGTTACAGTTGTCAGTTTTCTTTATTGAACACACAGTTCTGAAAATATATAGGGCTTGGAAGTTAGCTCCATGTATTGTTAACCTCATCTCTAGAGAGATGTAAGTGGTCAGCTTCATCTTATGATAACTAGACACCTGAAAATCGGTCCCTGGTATCCATAGGATAAGAGGTTGGCTGGGACCCCGAAGCTGGCTGGCTTGGAATGGCGAAAATGAGATGAATTTCTTCTCGTACCGGGAATCGAACCCGTCCTGACTATAGCATATAGCAGTGATACCGATTGAGCTCTGCTGGCTCATTTAGGAAAGTTACATTTTCTAATGAACACGAAGATTAGTTTGGGCATTGTCCGTTGTCTTGAGTTTCAAATACTGCATCCGTTTCTGTAAGCAGATCTCAGGAAAGAAATGTTACCGCTTAGTTAGCTCCATTAGAAAGAGAAAATTACAAAGTTTTTAATGTTGAAGCAGGTGGTACATATACAAGTAATAACCGCTTTGCTTTAAAGGAATAATGGGACAAGAAAGAAAAATACAAAAGTAAAATGTTATACTTGTGTGTGAGTACCGTGTGAGAAAAGGAAAAATGTTAGGAAAAAAATCAAGTAATGGACACTATCAAGGGAGGTACCTCATTAATGAAAATGGGACTCTAAGAGAAGGAACAAATATTCATTTCGTAAAGGGAAACAATTTTACATATTTCACGATTTCAGTAGAGCTAAAACTGCGATAGAAAATTGAGACTCTATTTTCATTAAGTTTTTTCTCCATCCCTTTTGCTGCACAATCCACAGTTGCACATGTAGAACAAATATTTTACTTAATTCTTACGAAAGCATCTATGGCGATGCTCGCACAATATGGCTGTTGGGAACAGAAAGAAAAAATTCAGTATCCCAGTCCCAGTACATCTCTAACTCCAAATGAAGATGAACTTAATAACCAACAGCACCACAGCGATTAAAATCTTTTGAATATGTGCTTGGCTCCCTACATAAACCGTTCTCTGTTAACTAGCATTTTACAAAACTTCTCAAAAAGTTGTTTGTGCCTAGGAAGGATACACAGCGTACACGGAGGCTGTACTGTGTTTTCCTGAAAAGATTTCAACTTTCATGGTTATTTATGAGAGAAGATTAGAGGGTGGCTTTTTGGATTTATGACGTGATCTGTTGTCTATGTTGTGTGAGATTTGAACTTCGCCCGATGATTTGAATTATATGTCATCTATTATTCGACCTTTCACCACTTCCTCTGAATGTTTTAACCTCTTTTCCCGTAAAATATATTTTCCTCTTTCCTACTTGATATTTGCCTGTATTTATTGAGGTCTTCTGTCTCCTTTTGGCTGACCCAGTTCATGTCCATATCCTATTGTAGCATTTAGAGCCGTTTCTAGGCAAAGGCTCGCTAAACATGTTCCCGCGTCAATGGATACATACTCAACAATATGGATATTGTTGGAAACTGTGTTTTCTGCTCAGTCCGTGTAAAGGGTGTTATAAGGAGGAAAATTTAAGCAAAAGTAGTGCTATACTATCGACTATGACTGACAAATTACAAACCCGACCTCTCGTCAGAGAGGGAGCCCCGCATGGACAGAACAGTAACTTTCATTTAAAAAGTAACGTCTGGGGCTCGACACCAAGACAGAGAGACTGACTGATCGTCAGTCGCAATGTCGCAATGTGACTGATTTTGACTTTGACTTTCACAAAAGTAGTGAAACCACTTGTGGAGGCGGGGTCGAATACTTCCACCGTAGCCCTGCGAGTCGCAGAAGGCGACGAAAAGAAAAGTCTCGAATATTGTCACGACTCCCACGGGACTCGGACCCGAGAATGACTGTCCTGGCAAGGGCCAGGTGCAATTGTAAACGACAGACCCGTCGTCTCGTCAGAGGCAGCACCTCACATCAACAAACCCTCGACTGTCTGACAATAACAGAAGCTGGTCGGAAGCCCAGGAGGGGTGCTTTATTCCAAGAGAGACTGGCCGACTGACCGTCGGTCGTATTATAAGACTCAGGACTCAAGAGTAGTGCAGTTGGAAGGGAGCGCCGTTCAGATAACACTTGAGCACCGTCTCAGAGACATAACCATTGTTAGAAGCCGTTACCAGGAAACGTCTAATGAAGACACTGCAGTCTGGAAAAGACTTGGCGTGTGCTGTAGTGATTTGTAAAGTCTGGAAATCAGCGATAATGTGAGAGTTATTTCTACTTAAGACCTATAAATTTTCAATAAATCCAATTATCCAAAACCCCGTCTGCAGTCACTCCATAATACGTGACACTATTCTCTTTCCCCGC